ATTGGCCTGAGCAAATTTGGTGTCAGTGGGACGAAAGCCTTAGGAGGACTTAGCCACATTCCAATGTGTGTGAATCGCCAAAAAATGCAAAATAGCCCTTTAACTGTACATTTTACACTTACGTGCCCATTGACTTTTTCATAGATCTTATTGAGATACACGTGATTGTCAAATTTTTTGTCAATATGACAAAGCGTAAAGGCGTGACACTCAACAACGTGTATTTTCACCTTTCGGGATAAGAAAAAATGGACTTTTTTCTCCTGCCATGGGGGGCGCTCTTTTGGGGAGTAAAAATTTCTTCACAAATGTGTTGATGGCTGGACATTGCATCATCCCAAAAAACTTGGAGGCCAGTATGGAAAAAAATAAAAAGTTATAAGACTTTTAAGAATGTGGATTTTTGGGTTATATTTGGTGCCCCCTAGAACCCAAACCGTGTGGTGCAGCAAGATGATTTGTACAACTTTTAATGGCCATGGGGTGTAGATTGGCCTGAGCAAATTTGGTGCCGGTGGAAAGATAGCCTTCGGAGGAGTTAGCGAAATTCCAATGTGTGCGGATCGGCAAAAAATGCAAAATAGCCCTTTAACCGTACATTTGACAGATACATGCCCTTTGACTTTTTCGTAGATCTTATTGAGATACACGTGATTGTCAAATTTTGTGTCAATATGACAAAGCATACAGGCGTGACACTCGACAATGTGTATTTTCACCTTAGGAGACAAGAAAAAATGGACCTTTTTCTCCTGCCATTGGGGGGCGCTCTTTTGGGGAGTAAAAATTCCTTCACAAATGTGTTGATGGCTGGACATTGCATCATCCTAGAAAACTTGGAGGCCAGTGAGGACAAAAGTAAAAAGTTATAAGACTTTTAAGAATGTGGATTTTTGGGTTATCTTTGGCGCCCCCTAGAACCTAAACCGTGGGGTGCAGCGTCATGATTTGTACAACTTTTAATGGCCATGGGGGGTAGATTGGCCTGCGCAAATGTGGTGCCGGTCGAACGAAAGCCTTCGGAGGAGTTAGCGAAATTCCAATGTGTGCAGATCTGCAAAAAATGCAAAATAACCCATTAACCGTACATTTGACAGATACGCCCGCACTGACTTTTTTGTAGATCTTATGGAGATACATGTGTGTGTCAATTTTTGTGTCAATATGACAAAGCGTACAGCCGTCATGTGAATTTTCACCTTAGGGGGCGCTATGGAGCCATTTTGCATATTATTGTTTGGGCGACTTCAGAATATCGAATTTTTCACCAGGCCCGGTCGTCCTGCCAAATATCCTGAGTTTTCGCCAGTGGGAAGTGGGCCATTTTCCAGTTTAAAGCGGAGGAAAAATAATAACGAAAGAAGGAAACATGCAGGAACAAGAGGGCTCTCGCAGCTGCTTAGCAGCTACGCTCGGGCCCTAACTAGGACCCCGTTGGGGCACTGGCGGGCCCGAGCTGTGTCGCGCCCCCCCCCAACGCGCTGCCTCCCCGTCCCATTTGTGTCCTCTGGCCATCGCCCTCTTTGGTAACGCCCATCACTGCAAAGACCCTTTTCCTTCATCGGCGTTTGCTGTTCTTCCTGCCAGTGCGTGTTGCTTTCACTTACACTTGCCACAGCCAGCCTCGTGAGTGCCTAGCCTATTGGATATCACTGTCACCTACACAGGACAGTCATTACCTTTCTATTAATACTTTGTTTTTTAATTTCACATTAATTTCCAAATTGTATAAACGACTGGAAAAAACTTGAGCCCCTGCCCCTGTATAATCATGTGCACGTCTCTGTTCTAGCTCTAAGGTAAATCTTCACTGCTCATGTTCTCCTCAGAAGCAGTCACCTCACTCCCCTCAGGTTACTGTACACATGCACCAACTGCCTGCTTCAGGTTTGGATGGAGCTTCATGGTTGTCTTTTGGAGAAATGAGCAGTCAAGTTGTGTTTGAAATTTGATTTTTTTCAGGGGCAAAAGGAGCCTCTGCATTCTTGTCAAATATGTAAATAGCATGTTTTTGCAGGTGCTACAAACCAGACTCTGAGTGTGTGTGTGTGCGTGTGTGTGTGTGTCTGTGTGTGTGTGTGTGTGTGCGTTCAAGTCACATGACATATTTAACCGGATGTAGCTGCAAGACGGAACCTCGTTGACTCTCCGTTTCAATTTATCTCAAAAGTGAGGACCTCAACCTATATACCAGTTTTTAAATTGTGTTGATAGGCCAAATAAAACCAGAGTTATGATAAATTATGTCCGCGATACTTGTTTTCTGCTTATTTTGATCACGTTCGGCGCTCGATCGCGCTGTATGAGACAGGAAAACATAGTATGCAGACATTAGCGACAGGTCTTACAGGCGGAAAAGGCTTGCCAAAGGAAAAAAAATACACACCACAACATCTCTCCTATTGGTGGAAAACTTCACCACAACAACCAATCCAAAATTATATGGTGACTGATTGACAAGGGGCGGGAACTTACGTTCTTCCTGCAACATGAGAAGGGAGGGAGGGACTCTCAGCAGGGATGCAGTCTGGGACACGTAGTTGCAAACCTAGCGACTTTGTTGTTAGATTCAATGACTTTTCAGACCCCCTAACGACTTTTTTTTAGAAAGAAAGTGACTTTTATCGACTTCTTCTGGAGTTTAGAGACTCTGACATGAAGCAGGCTTTCCTTACTGAGGAGTTAGCAACGCTGCTAAGGGTGCAGAGCCACACATGCGCTCCGAGCTCTGCATGGGAGACTGAAGCTGACAGAGCTGCAGCAGTTAGCAGGTTTCACCCTCAGAGACCACCAGGGGTTCATGTTGAGGCATTTTCAGTTTTTTTTTTTTTTTTTTGCCATAGACACTGTCAGCACAATCTGCAGTTACACTAACAAAAATGCTGCAAAAAACAAAGAATTATGGAAAAATTACACATGGACTGACATAGAGGAGGATCTACACAAGTTTTTTACATCATGTTTTACATCATGCATCATTTACATCATGTTTTTTTGTAGTGGCATAAATAAAAAGTGACATTTGTGAGACTATACAGTGTTTTGTAAATAATTTTACAAAGAACACCTGGGCCATTGCCTGCATTTTGATGTAAATAGAGGTAAATTACTATGTTCTTTGTTAAAAATTTGCATATGTTTTGAAGTTTACAATTTTTATTTGAAGTTTAAGTTTTAAAAACAGTTCATCACACATATTTGTGGTTTTCACAGTAAAAACGTTACTTTTTTCCACTCGGATTTTATGTTTTGTGTGTGAATTTGGGTCCAATGTGTAAATATAGTATGTCAAAATGATAAAATAACTGTAAATTGACACAGGTGAGGTTGTGCTGAAAAAAATGATACCAGGCAAGGCAAGGTAAAAATCTTGTAAGAGGAAATATAAAGGTAAAATCTAAAGTAGTCAAAAACGGCCAATAGTGACTCACAGACTCCACAGACAAGTCCCTTTGGCGCCACTCAGTGGGCAAAACTACTTTGTCTACTGTAATGTATATTTGGGTCATCTTTGGCGCCCCCTAAAACGTAAACCGTGGGGTGCAGCGTCATGATTTTTACAACTTTGAATGGCCATGGAGTGTAGATTGGCCTGAGCAAATTTGGTGTCAGTGGGACGAAAGCCTTAGGAGGAGTTAGCGAAATTCCAATGTGTGCGAATCGGCAAAAAATGCAAAATAGCCCTTTTACCGTACATTATACAGATACGCGCTCTTTGACTTTTTCGTAGATCTAATTGAGATACATATGATTGTCAATTTTTGTGTCATTTTGCCAAAGCGTACAGGCGTGACAGTCAACAATGTGTATTTTCACCTTAGGGGACAAGAAAAAATGGACTTTTTTCTCCTGCCATGGGGGGGCGCTCTTTTAGGGAGTAAAAATTCCTTCACAAATGTGTTGATGGCTGGACATTGCATCATCCTAGAAAACTTGGAGGCCAGTGAGGACAAAAATAAAAAGTTATAAGACTTTTAAAAATGTGGATTTTTGGGTTATCTTTGGCGCCCCCTAGAACGTAAACCGTGGGGTGCAGCGTCATGATTTGAATAACTTTTAATGGCCATGGGGTGTAGATTGGCCTGAGCAAATGTGGTGCCGGTGGAACGAAAGCCTTCGGAGGAGTTAGCGAAATTCCAATGTGTGCGGATCGGCAAAAAATGCGAAATAACCCTTTAACCGTACATTAGACAGATACGCGCGCACGGACTTTTTTGTAGATCTTATTGAGATACATGTGTGTGTCAATTTTTGTGTCATTTTGACAAAGCGTACAGGCGTGACAGTCAATAGTGTGAATTTTCACCTTAGGGGACAAGAAAAAATTGACTTTTTTCTCCTGCCATGGGGGGCGCTCTTTTGGGGAGTAAAAATTCCTTCACAAATGTGTTGATGGCTGGACATTGCATCATCCTAGAAAACTTGGAGGCCAGTGAGGGCAAAAATAAAAAGTTATAAGACTTTTAAATATGTGGATTTTAGGGTTATCTTTGGCGCCCCCTAGAACCTAAACCGTGGGGTGCAGCGTCATGATTTGAATAACTTTTAATGGCCATGGGGTGTAGATTGGCCTGAGCAAATGTGGTGCCGGTGGAACGAAAGCCTTCGGAGGAGTTAGCGAAATTCCAATGTGTGCGGATCGGCAAAAAATGCGAAATAACCCTTTAACCGTACATTTGACAGATACGCCCGCACTGACTTTTTTGTAGATCTTATTGAGATACATGTGTGTGTCAATTTTTGTGTCATTTTGACAAAGCGTAGAGGCGTGACAGTCAATAGTGTGAATTTTCACCTTAGGGGGCGCTATGGAGCCATTTTGCATTTTCTTGTTTGGGCGACTTCGGAATATCAAATTTTTCACCAGGCCCGGTCGTCCTGCCAAATTTCATGAGTTTTCGCCAGTGGGAAGTGGGCCATTTTCCAGTTCAAAGGGGAGGAAAAATAATAACTAGGGCCCCGGTGGGGCACTGGCGGGCCCGAGCCGTGTCGCACCGCCCCCAGCGCGACCGCCTACCCCTCCCGATCGCGTCACACTCAAGGTTCAAAGATGGTGTGCGCACTTGTCTGTGGTCATTTACCATTATAATGAATGGGAGGCGCAGTTTCTACCAAAATGCTCGCTGCAGACAAACTCCATGTCCTTTTTGAAAAAAGTCTGGACCATGAGTGAGGGCACAAACACAGCTAAGATATATCCAAATGGCAAGTTGCTCCTCCTTTCGGTTTTGCTGAGAGAGCGATGCGTTTGAGCCATTGAGCGATGGGCAGGAAAAACTTGACTTTTTCTCCGGCCATGGGGGGCGCTCTTTTGGGGAGAAAAATTCCTTCACAAATGTGTTGATGGCTGGACATTGCATCATCCTAGAAAACTTGGAGGCCAGTGAGGACAAAAATAAAAAGTTATAAGACTTTTAAATATGTGGATATTTGGGTCCTCTTTGGCGCCCCCTAGAACGTAAACCGTGGGGTGCAGCGTCATGATTTTTACAACTTTGAATGGCCATGGGGTGTAGATTGGCCTGAGAAAATTTGGTGTCAGTGGAACGAAAGCCTTAGGAGGAGTTAGCCACATTCCAATGTGTGCGAATCGGCAAAAAATGCGAAATAGCCCTTTAAACGTACATTTTACAGATACGCGCGCATTGACTTTTTCGTAGATCTTATTGAGATACACGTGATTGTCAAATTTTGTGTCAATATGACAAAGCATATAGGCGTGACACTCAACAATGTGTATTTTCGCCTTAGGGGACAAGAAAAAATGGACTTTTTTCTCCTGCCATGGGGGGCGCTCTTTTGGCGAGTAAAAATTCCTTCACAAATGTGTTGATGGCTGGACATTGCATCATCCTAGAGAACTTGGAGGCCAGTGAGGACAAAAATAAAAAGTTATAAGACTTTTAAGACTGTGGATTTTTGGGTTATCTTTGGCGCCCCCTAGAACCTAAACCGTGGGGTGCAGCGGCATGATTTGTACAACTTTTAATGGCCATGGGGTGTAGATTGGCCTGAGCAAATGTGGTGCCGGTGGAACGAAAGCCTTCGGAGGAGTTAGCGAAATTCCAATGTGTGCGGATCGGCAAAAAATGCGAAATAACCCTTTAACCGTACATTTGACAGATACGCCCGCGCTGACTTTTTTGTAGATCTTATTGAGATACATGTGTGTGTCAATTTTTGTGTCAATATGACAAAGCGTACAGGCGTGACAGTCAATAGTGTGAATTTTCACCTTAGGGGGCGCTATGGAGCCATTTTGCATTTTATTGTTTGGGCGACTTCAGAATATCGAATTTTTCACCAGGCCCGGTCGTCCTGCCAAATTTCATGAGTTTTCGCCAGTGGGAAGTGGGCCATTTTTCCCTTCAAAGGGGAGGAAAAATAAGAAGAAAGAAAGAAAGAAAGAAAGAAAGAAGAAAGAAAAACTCATCAGGAATAATAGGGCTCTACGCCCGGCTGCTCTGCAGCTGGCTCGGGCCCTAATAACAAAAGAAGGAAACATGCAGGAACAAGAGGGCTCTCGCAGCTGCTTAGCAGCTACGCTCGGGCCCTAAAGAAAGAAAGAAAGAAACAAAGAAAAACCACTTGGGGAATAATAGGGCCTACGCCCGGCTGCTCTGCAGCTGGCTCGGGCCCTAACTAGGACCCCGTTGGGGCACTGGCGGGCCCGAGCCGTGTCGCGTCCCCCCCCCCCAACGTGCTGCCTCCCCGTCCCATTTGTGTCCTCTGGCCATCGCCCTCTCTGGTAACGCCCATCACTGCAAAGACCCTTTTCCTTCATCGGCGTTTGCTGTTCTTCCTGCCAGTGCGTGTTGCTTTCACTTACACTTGCCACAGCCAGCCTCGTGAGTGCCTAGCCTATTGGATATCACTGTCACCTACACAGGACAGTCATTACCTTTCTATTAATACTTTGTGTTTTAATTTCACATTAATTTCCATATTGTATAAACGACTGGAAAAAACTTGAGCCCCTGCCCCTGTATAATCATGTGCATGTCTCTGTTCTAGCTCCAAGGTGAATCTTCACTGCTCATGTTCTCCTCAGAAGCACTCACCTCACTCCCCTCAGGTTACTGTACACATGCACCAACTGCCTGCTTCAGGTTTGGATGGAGCTTCATGGTTGTCTTTTGGAGAAATGACCAGTCAAGTTGTGTTTGAAATTTGATTTTTTTCAGGGGCAAAAGGAGCCTCTGCATTCTTGTCAAATATGTAAATAGCATGTTTTTGCAGGTGCTAAAAACCAGACTCTGAGTGTGTGTGTGTGTGTGTGTGTGTGTGTGTGTGTGTGTGTGTGTGCGTGTGTGTGTCTATGTGTGCGTTCAAGTCACATGACATATTTAACCGGATGTAGCTGCAAGACGGAGCCTCGTTGACTCTCCGTTTCAACTTATCTCAAAAGTGAGGACCTCAACCTATATACCAGTTTTTAAATTGTGTTGATAGGCCAAATAAAACCAGAGTTATGATAAATTATGTCCGCGATACTTTTTTTCTGCTTATTTTGATCACGTTCGGCGCTCGATCGCGCTGTATGAGACAGGAAAACATAGCATGCAGACATTAGCGACAGGTCTTACAGGCGGAAAAGGCTTGCCAAAAGAAAAAAAAAAACCACCACAACATCTCTCCTATTGGTGGAAAACTTCACCACAACAACCAATCCAAAATTATATTGTGACTGATTGACAAGGGGCGGGCGCTTACGTTCTTCCTGCAACATGAGAAGGGAGGGAGGGACTCTCAGCAGGGATGCAGTCTGGGACACGTAGTTGCAAACCTAGCGACTTTGTTGTTAGATTCAATGACTTTTCAGACACCCTAACGACTTTTTTTTAGAAAGAAAGGGACTTTTATCGACTTCTTCTGGAGTTTAGAGACTCTGACATGAAGCAGGCTTTCCTTACTGAGGAGTTAGCAACGCTGCTAAGGGTGCAGAGCCACACATGCGCTCCGAGCTCTGCATGGGAGACTGAAGCTGACAGAGCTGCAGCAGTTAGCAGGTTTCACCCTCAGAGACCACCAGGGGTTCATGTTGAGGCATTTTAATTTTTTTTTTTTTTGTGCCATAGACACTGTCAGCACAATCTGCAGTTACACTAACAAAAATGCTGCAAAAAACAAAGAATTATGGAAAAATTACACATGGACTGACATAGAGGAGGATCTACACAAGTTTTTTACATCATGTTTTACATCATGCATCATTTACATCATGTTTTTTTGTAGTGGCATAAATAAAAAGTGACATTTGTGAGACTATACAGTGTTTTGTAAATAATTTTACAAAGAACGCCTGGGCCATTGCCTGCATTTTGATGTAAATAGAGGTAAATTACTATGTTCTTTGTTTAAAATTTGCATATGTTTTGAAGTTTACAATTTTTATTTGAAGTTTAAGTTTTAAAAACAGTTCATCACACATATTTGTGGTTTAATTTCACATTAATTTCCATATTGTATAAATGACTGGAAAAAACTTGAGCCCCTGCCCCTGTATAATCATGTGCACGTCCCTGTTCTAGCTCCAAGGTGAATCTTCACTGCTCATGTTCTCCTCAGAAATAGTCACCTCACTCCCCTCAGGTTACTGTACACATGCACCAACTATCTGCTTCAGGTTTGAAATGGAGCTTCATGGTTGTCTTTTGGAGAAATGAACAGTCAAGTTGTGTTTGAAATTTGATTTTTTTCAGGGGCAAAAGGAAGCCTCTGCATTCTTGTCAAATATGTAAACAGCATGTTTTTGCAGGTGCTAAAAAACAGACTCTGAGTGTGTGTGTGTGTCTGTGTGTGTGTGTGTGTGTGTGTGTGTGTGTGTATGTTGGCGTGTGTGTATATGTGTGTGTATCCTGCAGTACTCTGTACTCCTGCAGTGGCCAAAAAGACTTTTAAGAATGTGGATTTTTGGGTCATCTTTGGCGCCCCCTAGAACTGCAGTACTCTGTACTCCTGCAGTGGCCAAAATGACTTTTAAGAATGTGGATATTTGGGTCATCTTTGGCGCCCCCTAGAACGTAAACCGTGGGGTGCAGCGTCATGATTTTTACAACTTTGAATGGCCATGGGGTGTAGATTGGCCTGAGCAAATTTGGTGTCAGTGGGACGAAAGCCTTAGGAGGAGTTAGCCACATTCCAATGTGTGCTAATCGGCAAAAAATGCGAAATAGCCCTTTAACCGTACATTTTACAGATACGCGCGCATTGACTTTTTCGTAGATCTTATTGAGATACATGTGTGTGTCAAATTTTGTGTCAATATGACAAAGCATACAGGTATGACAGTCAACAATGTGTATTTTCACCTTATGGGACAAGAAAAAATGGACTTTTTTCTCCTGCCATGGGGGGGCGCTCTTTTAGGGAGTAAAAATTCCTTCACAAATGTGTTGATGGCTGGACATTGCATCATCCTAGAAAACTTGGAGGCCAGAGAGGACAAAAATAAAAAGTTAAAAGACTTTTAAATATGTGGATTTTAGGGTTATCTTTGGCGCCCCCTAGAACCTAAACCGTGGGGTGCAGCGTCATGATTTGAATAACTTTTAATGGCCATGGGGTGTAGATTGGCCTGAGCAAATGTGGTGCCGGTTGAACGAAAGCCTTCGGAGGAGTTAGCGAAATTCCAATGTGTGCGGATCGGCAAAAAATGCGCAATAACCCTTTAACCGTACATTTGACAGATACGCGCGCACTGACTTTTTTGTAGATCTTATTGAGATAGATGTGTGTGTCAATTTTTGTGTAATTTTGACAAAGCGTACAGGCGTGACAGTCAATAGTGTGAATTTTCACCTTATGGAACAAGAAAAAATGGACTTTTTTCTCCTGCCATGGGGGGGCGCTCTTTTGGGGAGTAAAAATTCCTTCACAAATGTGTTGATGGCTGGACATTGCATCATCCTAGAAAACTTGGAGGCCAGTGAGGGCAAAAATAAAAAGTTATAAGACTTTGAAATATGTGGATTTTAGGGTTATCTTTGGCGCCCCCTAGAACATAAACCGTGGGGTGCAGCGTCATGATTTGAATAACTTTTAATGGCCATGGGGTGTAGATTGGCCTGAGCAAATGTGGTGCCGGTGGAACGAAAGCCTTCGGAGGAGTTAGCGAAATTCCAATGTGTGCGGATCGGCAAAAAATGCGAAATAACCCTTTAACCGTACATTTGACAGATACGCCCGCACTGACTTTTTTGTAGATCTTATTGAGATACATGTGTGTGTCAATTTTTGTGTCATTTTGACAAAGCGTACAGGCGTCAGGTGAATTTTTCACCTTAGGGGGCGCTATGGAGCCATTTTGCATTGTATTGTTTGGGCGACTTCAGAATATCAAATTTTTCACCAGGCCCGGTCGTCCTGCCAAATTTCATGAGTTTTCGCCAGTGGGAAGTGGGCCATTTTCCAGTTCAAAGGGGAGGAAAAATAATAACTAGGACCCCGTTGGGGCACTGGCGGGCCCGAGCTGTGTCGCGTCCCCCCCCCAACGCGCTGCCTCCCCGTCCCATTTGTGTCCTCTGGCCATCGCCCTCTCTGGTAACGCCCATCACTGCAAAGACCCTTTTCCTTCATCGGCGTTTGCTGTTCTTCCTGCCAGTGCGTGTTGCTTTCACTTACACTTGCCACAGCCAGCCTCGTGAGTGCCTAGCCTATTGGATATCACTGTCACCTACACAGGACAGTCATTACCTTTCTATTAATACTTTGTGTTTTAATTTCACATTAATTTCCATATTGTATAAACGACTGGAAAAAACTTGAGCCCCTGCCCCTGTATAATCATGTGCATGTCTCTGTTCTAGCTCCAAGGTGAATCTTCACTGCTCATGTTCTCCTCAGAAGCAGTCACCTCACTCCCCTCAGGTTACTGTACACATGCACCAACTGCCTGCTTCAGGTTTGGATGGAGCTTCATGGTTGTCTTTTGGAGAAATGACCAGTCAAGTTGTGTTTGAAATTTGATTTTTTTCAGGGGCAAAAGGAGCCTCTGCATTCTTGTCAAATATGTAAATAGCATGTTTTTGCAGGTGCTAAAAACCAGACTCTGAGTGTGTGTGTGTGCGTGTGTGTGTGTGTGTCTGTGTGTGTGTGTGTGTGTGTGTGTGTGTGTGCGTTCAAGTCACATGACATATTTAACCGGATGTAGCTGCAAGACGGAGCCTCGTTGACTCCGTTTCAACTTATCTCAAAAGTGAGGACCTCAACCTATATACCAGTTTTTAAATTGTGTTGATAGGCCAAATAAAACCAGAGTTATGATAAATTATGTCCGCGATACTTGTTTTCTGCTTATTTTGATCACGTTCGGCGCTCGATCGCGCTGTATGAGACAGGAAAACATAGCATGCAGACATTAGCGACAGGTCTTACAGGCGGAAAAGGCTTGCCAAAGGAAAAAAAAAACACACCACAACATCTCTCCTATTGGTGGAAAACTTCACCACAACAACCAATCCAAAATTATATGGTGACTGATTGACAAGGGGCGGGCGCTTACGTTCTTCCTGCAATATGAGAAGGGAGGGAGGGACTCTCAGCAGGGATACAGTCTGGGACACGTAGTTGCAAACCTAGCGACTTTGTTGTTAGATTCAATGACTTTTCAGACCCCCTAACGACTTTTTTTTTAGAAAGAAAGTGACTTTTATCGACTTCTTCTGGAGTTTAGAGACTCTGACATGAAGCAGGCTTTCCCTACTGAGGAGTTAGCAACGCTGCTAAGGGTGCAGAGCCACACATGCGCTCAGAGCTCTGCATGGGAGACTGAAGCTGACAGAGCTGCAGCAGTTAGCAGGTTTCACCCTCAGAGACCACCAGGGGTTCATGTTGAGGCATTTTCAGTTTTTTTTTTTTTTTTTTGCCATAGACACTGTCAGCACAATCTGCAGTTACACTAACAAAAATGCTGCAAAAAACAAAGAATTATGGAAAAATTACACATGGACTAACATAGAGGAGGATCTACACAAGTTTTTTACATCATGTTTTACATCATGCATCATTTACATCATGTTTTTTTGTAGTGGCATAAATAAAAAGTGACATTTGTGAGACTATACAGTGTTTTGTAAATAATTTTACAAAGAACACCTGGGCCATTGCCTGCATTTTGATGTAAATAGAGGTAAATTACTATGTTCTTTGTTAAAAATTTGCATATGTTTTGAAGTTTACAATTTTTATTTGAAGTTTAAGTTTTAAAAACAGTTCATCACACATATTTGTGGTTTTCACAGTAAAAACGTTACTTTTTTCCACTCGGATTTTATGTTTTGTGTGTGAATTTGGGTCCAATGTGTAAATATAGTATGTCAAAATGATAAAATAACTGTAAATTGACACAGGTGAGGTTGTGCTGAAAAAAATGATACCAGGCAAGGCAAGGTAAAAATTTTGTAAGAGGAAATATAAAGGTAAAATCTAAAGTAGTCAAAAACGGCCAATAGTGACTCACAGACTCCACAGACAAGTCCCTTTGGCGCCACTCAGTGGGCAAAACTACTTTGTCTACTGTAATGTATATTTGGGTCATCTTTGGCGCCCCCTAAAACGTAAACCGTGGGGTGCAGCGTCATGATTTTTACAACTTTGAATGGCCATGGAGTGTAGATTGGCCTGAGCAAATTTGGTGTCAGTGGGACGAAAGCCTTAGGAGGAGTTAGCGAAATTCCAATGTGTGCGAATCGGCAAAAAATGCAAAATAGCCCTTTTACCGTACATTATACAGATACGCGCTCTTTGACTTTTTCGTAGATCTAATTGAGATACACATGATTGTCAATTTTTGTGTCATTTTGCCAAAGCGTACAGGCGTGACAGTCAACAATGTGTATTTTCACCTTAGGGGACAAGAAAAAATGGACTTTTTTCTCCTGCCATGGGGGGGCGCTCTTTTAGGGAGTAAAAATTCCTTCACAAATGTGTTGATGGCTGGACATTGCATCATCCTAGAAAACTTGGAGGCCAGTGAGGACAAAAATAAAAAGTTATAAGACTTTTAAAAATGTGGATTTTTGGGTTATCTTTGGCGCCCCCTAGAACGTAAACCGTGGGGTGCAGCGTCATGATTTGAATAACTTTTAATGGCCATGGGGTGTAGATTGGCCTGAGCAAATGTGGTGCCGGTGGAACGAAAGCCTTCGGAGGAGTTAGCGAAATTCCAATGTGTGCGAATCGGCAAAAAATGCGGAATAACCCTTTAACCGTACATTTGACAGATACGCGCGCATGGACTTTTTTGTAGATCTTATTGAGATACATGTGTGTGTCAATTTTTGTGTCATTTTGACAAAGCGTACAGGCGTGACACTCAACAATGTGTATTTTCACCTTAGGGGACAAGAAAAAATGGACTTTTTTCTCCTGCCATGGGGGGGCGCTCTTTTGGGGAGTAAAAATTCCTTCACAAATGTGTTGATGGCTGGACATTGCATCATCCTAGAAAACTTGGAGGCCAGTGAGGGCAAAAATAAAAAGTTATAAGACTTTTAAATATGTGGATTTTAGGGTTATCTTTGGCGCCCCCTAGAACCTAAACCGTGGGGTGCAGCGTCATGATTTGAATAACTTTTAATGGCCATGGGGTGTAGATTGGCCTGAGCAAATGTGGTGCCGGTGGAACGAAAGCCTTCAAAGGAGTTAGCGAAATTCCAATGTGTGCGGATCGGCAAAAAATGCGAAATAACCCTTTAACCGTACATTTGACAGATACGCCCGCACTGACTTTTTTGTAGATCTTATTGAGATACATGTGTGTGTCAAATTTTGTGTCATTTTGACAAAGCGTACAGGCGTGACACTCAATAGTGTGAATTTTCACCTTAGGGGGCGCTATGGAGCCATTTTGCATTTTCTTGTTTGGGCGACTTCGGAATATCAAATTTTTCACCAGGCCCGGTCGTCCTGCCAAATTTCATGAGTTTTCGCCAGTGGGAAGTGGGCCATTTTCCAGTTCAAAGGGGAGGAAAAAGAAAAAAGAAACAAAGAAAAACCCCTTGGGGAATAATAGGGCTCTCGCAGCTGCTTAGCAGCTACGCTCGGGCCCTAATAACAAAAGAAGGAAACATGCAGGAACAAGAGGGCTCTCGCAGCTGCTTAGCAGCTACGCTCGGGCCCTAACTAGGACCCCGTTGGGGCACTGGCGGGCCCGAGCCGTGTCGCGTCTCCCCCCCCCCCCAACGTGCTGCCTCCCCGTCCCATTTGTGTCCTCTGGCCATCGCCCTCTCTGTTAACGCCCATCACTGCAAAGACCCTTTTCCTTCATCGGCGTTTGCTGTTCTTCCTGCCAGTGCGTGTTGCTTTCACTTACACTTGCCACAGCCAGCCTCGTGAGTGCCTAGCCTATTGGATATCACTGTCACCTACACAGGACAGTCATTACCTTTCTATTAATACTTTGTGTTTTAATTTCACATTAATTTCCATATTGTATAAACGACTGGAAAAAACTTGAGCCCCTGCCCCTGTATAATCATGTGCACGTCTCTGTTCTAGCTCTAAGGTAAATCTTCACTGCTCATGTTCTCCTCAGAAGCACTCACCTCACTCCCCTCAGGTTACTGTACACATGCACCAACTGCCTGCTTCAGGTTTGGATGGAGCTTCATGGTTGTCTTTTGGAGAAATGACCAGTCAAGTTGTGTTTGAAATTTGATTTTTTTCAGGGGCAAAAGGAGCCTCTGCATTCTTGTCACATATGTAAATAGCATGTTTTTGCAGGTGCTACAAACCAGACTCTGAGTGTGTGTGTGTGCGCGTGTGTGTGTGTCTGAATGTGTGTGTGTGTGTGCGTTCAAGTCACATGACATATTTAACCGGATGTAGCTGCAAGACGGAGCCTCGTTGACTCTCCGTTTCAATTTATCTCAAAAGTGAGGACCTCAACCTATATACCAGTTTTTAAATTGTGTTGATAGGCCAAATAAAACCAGAGTTATGATAAATTATGTCCGCGATACTTGTTTTCTGCTTATTTTGATCACGTTCGGCGCTCGATCGCGCTGTATGAGACAGGAAAACATAGCATGCAGACATTAGCGACAGGTCTTACAGGCGGAAAAGGCTTGCCAAAGGAAAAAAAATACACACCACAACATCTCTCCTATTGGTGGAAAACTTCACCACACCAACCAATCCAAAATTATATGGTGACTGATTGACAAGGGGCGGGAACTTACGTTCTTCCTGCAATATGAGAAGGGAGGGAGGGACTCTCAGCAGGGATGCAGTCTGGGACACGTAGTTGCAAACCTAGCGACTTTGTTGTTAGATTCAATGACTTTTCAGACCCCCTAACGACTTTTTTTTAGAAAGAAAGTGACTTTTATCGACTTCTTCTGGAGTTTAGAGACTCTGACATGAAGCAGGCTTTCCTTACTGAGGAGTTAGCAACGCTGCTAAGGGTGCAGAGCCACACATGCGCTCCGAGCTCTGCATGGGAGACTGAAGCTGACAGAGCTGCAGCAGTTAGCAGGTTTCACCCTCAGAGACCACCAGGGGTTCATGTTGAGGCATTTTCAGTTTTTTTTTTTTTTTTTTTGCCATAGACACTGTCAGCACAATCTGCAGTTACACTAACAAAAATGCTGCAAAAAACAAAGAATTATGGAAAAATTACACATGGACTAACATAGAGGAGGATCTACACAAGTTTTTTACATCATGTTTTACATCATGCATCATTTACATCATGTTTTTTTGTAGTGGCATAAATAAAAAGTGACATTTGTGAGACTATACAGTGTTTTGTAAATAATTTTACAAAGAACACCTGGGCCATTGCCTGCATTTTGATGTCAATAGAGGTAAATTACTATGTTCTTTGTTAAAAATTTGCATATGTTTTGAAGTTTACAATTTTTATTTGAAGTTTAAGTTTTAAAAACAGTTCATCACACATATTTGTGGTTTTCACAGTAAAAACGTTACTTTTTTCCACTCGGATTTTATGTTTTGTGTGTGAATTTGGGTCCAATGTGTAAATATAGTATGTCAAAATGATAAAATAACTGTAAATTGACACAGGTGAGGTTGTGCTGAAAAAAATGATACCAGGCAAGGCAAGGTAAAAATTTTGTAAGAGGAAATATAAAGGTAAAATCTAAAGTAGTCAAAAACGGCCAATAGTGACTCACAGACTCCACAGACAAGTCCCTTTGGCGCCACTCAGTGGGCAAAACTACTTTGTCTACTGTAATGTATATTTGGGTCATCTTTGGCGCCCCCTAAAACGTAAACCGTGGGGTGCAGCGTCATGATTTTTACAACTTTGAATGGCCATGGAGTGTAGATTGGCCTGAGCAAATTTGGTGTCAGTGGGACGAAAGCCTTAGGAGGAGTTAGCGAAATTCCAATGTGTGCGAATCGGCAAAAAATGCAAAATAGCCCTTTTACCGTACATTATACAGATACGCGCTCTTTGACTTTTTCGTAGATCTAATTGAGATACACATGATTGTCAATTTTTGTGTCATTTTGCCAAAGCGTACAGGCGTGACAGTCAACAATGTGTATTTTCACCTTAGGGGACAAGAAAAAATGGACTTTTTTCTCCTGCCATGGGGGGGCGCTCTTTCAGGGAGTAAAAATTCCTTCACAAATGTGTTGATGGCTGGACATAGCATCATCCTAGAAAACTTGGAGGCCAGTGAGGACAAAAATAAAAAGTTATAAGACTTTTAAAAATGTGGATTTTTGGGTTATCTTTGGCGCCCCCTAGAACGTAAACCGTGGGGTGCAGCGTCATGATTTGAATAACTTTTAATGGCCATGGGGTGTAGATTGGCCTGAGCAAATGTGGTGCCGGTGGAACGAAAGCCTTCGGAGGAGTTAGCGAAATTCCAATGTGTGCGGATCGGCAAAAAATGCGAAATAACCCTTTAACCGTACATTTGACAGATACGCCCGCACTGACTTTTTTGTAGATCTTATTGAGATACATGTGTGTGTCAATTTTTGTGTCATTTTGACAAAGCGTACAGGCGTGACAGTCAATAGTGTGAATTTTCACCTTAGGGGGCGCTATGGAGCCATTTTGCATTTTCTTGTTTGGGCGACTTCGGAATATCAAATTTTTCACCAGGCCCGGTCGTCCTGCCAAATTTCATGAGTTTTCGCCAGTGGGAAGTGGGCCATTTTCCAGTTCAAAGGGGAGGAAAAAGAAACTAGGGCCCCGTTGGGGCACTGGCGGGCCCGAGCCGTGTCGCGCCGCCCCCAGCGCGACCGCCTACCCCTCCCGATGGCGTCACACTCAAGGTCCAAAGATGGTGTGCGCACTTGTCTGTGGTCATTTACCATTATAATGAATGGGAGGCGCAGTTTCTACCAAAACGCTCGCTGCAGACAAACTCCATGTCCTTTTTGAAAAAAGTCTGGACCATGAGTGAGGGCACAAACACAGCTAGTATATATCCAAATGGCAAGTTTCTCCTCCTTTCGGTTTTGCCGAGAGAGCGATGCGTTTGAGCCATTGAGCGATGGGCAGGAAAAACTTGACTTTTTCTCCTGCCATGGGGGGGCGCTCTTTTGGGGAGTAAAAATTCCTTCACAAATGTGTTGATGGCTGGACATTGCATCATCCTAGAAAACTTGGAGGCCAGTGAGCACAAAAATAAAAAGTTATAAGACTTTTAAAAATGTGGATATTTGGGTCCTCTTTGGCGCCCCCTAGAACGTAGACCGTGGGGTGCAGCGTCATGATTTTTACAACTTTGAATGGCCATGGGGTGTAGATTGGCCTGAGCAAATTTGGTGTCAGTGGGACGAAAGCCTTAGGAGGACTAAGCCACATTCCAATGTGTGCGAATCTGCAAAAAATGCGAAAAAGCCCTTTAACCGTACATTTTACAGATACGCGCGCATTGACTTTTTCGTAGATCTTATTGAGATGCACGTGATTGTCAAATTTTGTGTCAATATGACAAAGCCTACAGGCGTGACATTCAACAATGTGTATTTTCGCCTTGGGGGACAAGAAAAAATGGACTTTTTTCTCCTGCCATGGGGGGGCGCTCTTTTGGGGAGTAAAAATTCCTTCACAAATGTGTTGATGGCTGGACATTGCATCATCCTAGAAAACTTGGAGGCCAGTGAGGACAAAAATAAAAAGTTATAAGACTTTTAAAAATGTGGATTTTTGGGTTATCTTTGGCGCCCCCTAGAACGTAAACCGTGGGGTGCAGCGTCATGATTTGAATAACTTTGAATGGCCATGGGGTGTAGATTGGCCTGAGCAACTATGGTGTCAGTGGAACGAAAGCCTTCGGAGGAGTTAGCGAAATTCCAATGTGTGCGAATCGGCAAAAAATGCGGAATAACCCTTTAACCGTACATTTGACAGATACGCCCGCACTGACTTTTTTGTAGATCTTATTGAGATACATGTGTGTGTCAATTTTTGTGTCATTTTGACAAAGCGTACAGGCGTGACACTCAACAATGTGTATTTTCACCTTAGGGGGCGCTATGGAGCCATTTTGCATTTTCTTGTTTGGGCGACTTCGGAATATCAAATTTTTCACCAGGCCCGGTCGTCCTGCCAAATTTCATGAGTTTTCGCCAGTGGGAAGTGGGCCATTTTCCAGTTCAAAGGGGAAAAAAAAGAAACTAGGGCCCCGTTGGGGCACTGGCGGGCCCGAGCCGCGTCGCGCCGCCCCCAGCGCGACCGCCTCCCCGTCCCATTCGTGCCCTCTGGCCATCGCCCTCTCTGGTGACGCCCATCACTGCAAAGACCCTTTTCCTTCATCGGTGTTTGCTGTTCTTCCTGCCATTGCGTGTTGCTTTCACTTACACTTGCCACAGCCAGCCCCGTGAGTGCCTGGCCTGGTTTGACCTTTGCTCACCATGATTGTGTGACCTTGGTATCAGCTACTTGGGAAGTTCAACCGTTGTGGCAAAGCTTTGTTTGCGTGCTGTGCTCAACCACCTATTTTCTATGGATGTGTAAGTAAACCACTTTCTTTCTTACACAATGACACACTCATACTTATCACTCACTGCTACTGATGTGCTCTGTTAGTATGCATGCAGGAAACCTGATGAATGAAGAAATGCCCAGACTAGCCAACATCTCAATAAATTATGAGGTATGACATCACTTGAATGGTTTCCTTGGACTATGCTTCCATTATTCTAATTCTGTAATAAAAAGAAATTTTGTCCAAAAGGACTGTTGTTGTTTTTTCTTCTAATAATTAACATATTTAACATAATTAACATTCAATATGCGCTCATTACACACGTGCACACTCTTTGATGATCTGAGAAGCAGAGCTTAAAGGACAGTAGGAGTAGCTGAACAAAGTGTATTTGTAGGAAAGCCGTAAGAGCTATTGAAACGCCGTTTTCGCGGGTTGAAAGGTTAGGGTGTCCACCAAAGGTCAGAGGTCAAATAACATTTGTATCTCAAACTGTGACGTCAAAGTCAAGGTCCAAAGATGGTGTGCGCACCTGTCTTTGGTCATTTCCCATTATAATGAATGGGAGGCACAGTTTCTACCAAAACGCTCGCTGCAGACAAACTACATGTCCTATTTGAAAAAACTCTGGACCATGAGTGAGGGCACAAACACAGCTAGGACATATCCAAATGGCACGTTGCTCCTCCTTTTGGTTTTAGCGGGAGAGCAATGCGTTTGAGCCATTAAGCGATGGGCTGGAAAAACTTGACTTTTTCTCCTGCCATGGGGGGGGGGCGCTCTTTTGGGGAGAAAAAATTCCTTCACAGATGTGTTGATGGCTGCACATTGCATCATCCTAGAAAACTTGGAGGCCAGTGAGGACAAAAATAAAAAGTTATAAGACTTTTAAAAATGTGGATATTTGGGTCATCTTTGGCGCCCCCTAGAACGTAAACCGTGGGGTGCAGCATCATGATTTGTACAACTTTCAATGGCCATGGGGTGTAGATTGGCCTGAGCAAATGTAGTGCCGGTGGAACGAAAGCCTTCGGAGGAGTTAGCGAAATTTCAATGTGTGCGGATCGGCAAAAAATGCGAAATAACCCTTTAACCGTACATTTTACAGATACGCGCGCATTGACTTTTTCGTAGATCTTATTGAGATACACGTGTGTGTCAAATTTTGTGTCATTTTGACAAAGCATACAGGCGTGAATCTCAACAATGTGTATTTTCACCTTAGGGGACAAGAAAAAATTGATTTTTTGTCCTGCCATGGGGGGGCGCTCTTTTGGGGAGTAAAAATTCCTTTACAAATGTGTTGATGGCTGGACATTGCATCATCCTAGAAAACTTGGAGGCCAGTGAGGACAAAAATAAAAAGTTATAAAACTTTTAAGAATGTGGATTTTTGGGTTATTTTTGGCGCCCCCTAGAACCTAAACCATGGAGTGCAGCATCATGATTTGTACAACTTTGAATGGCCATGGAGTGTAGATTGGCCTGAGCAAATGTGGTGCCGGTAGAACGAAAGCCTTCGGAGGAGTTAGCGAAATTCCAATGTGTGCGGATCTGCAAAAAATGCGAAATAACCCTTTAACCGTACATTTGACAGATACGCCCGCACTGACTTTTTTGTAGATCTTATTGAGATACATGTGTGTGTCAATTTTTGTGTCAATATGACAAAGCGTACAGGCGTGACAGTCAATAGTGTGAATTTTCACTTTAGGGGGCGCTATGGAGCCATTTTGCATTTTATTGTTTGGGCGACTTCAGAATATCGAATTTTTCACCAGGCCCGGTCGTCCTGCCAAATTTCCTGAGTTTTCGCCAGTGGGAAGTGGGCCATTTTCCCCTTCAAAGGGGAGGAAAAATAAGAAGAAACTAGGACCCCGTTGGGGCACTGGCGGGCCCGAGCTGTGTCGCGTCCCCCCCCCAACGCGCTGCCTCCCCGTCCCATTTGTGTCCTCTGGCCATCGCCCTCTCTGTTAACGCCCATCACTGCAAAGACCCTTTTCCTTCATCGGCGTTTGCTGTTCTTCCTGCCAGTGCGTGTTGCTTTCACTTACACTTGCCACAGCCAGCCTTGTGAGTGCCTAGCCTATTGGATATCACTGTCACCTACACAGGACAGTCATTACCTTTCTATTAATACTTTGTGTTTTAATTTCACATTAATTTCCATATTGTATAAACGACTGGAAAAAACTTGAGCCCCTGCCCCTGTATAATCATGTGCATGTCTCTGTTCTAGCTCCAAGGTGAATCTTCACTGCTCATGTTCTCCTCAGAAGCACTCACCTCACTCCCCTCAGGTTACTGTACACATGCACCAACTGCCTGCTTCAGGTTTGGATGGAGCTTCATGGTTGTCTTTTGGAGAAATGACCAGTCAAGTTGTGTTTGAAATTTGATTTTTTTCAGGGGCAAAAGGAGCCTCTGCATTCTTGTCAAATATGTAAATAGCATGTTTTTGCAGGTGCTAAAAACCAGACTCTGAGTGTGTGTGTGTGTGTGTGTGTGTGTGTGTGTGTGTGTGTGTGTGTGTGTGTGCGTGTGTGTGTGTGTGTCTGTGTGTGCGTTCAAGTCACATGACATATTTAACTGGATGTAGCTGCAAGACGGAGCCTCGTTGACTCTCCGTTTCAACTTATCTCAAAAGTGAGGACCTCAACCTATATACCAGTTTTTAAATTGTGTTGATAGGCCAAATAAAACCAGAGTTATGATAAATTATGTCCGCGATACTTTTTTTCTGCTTATTTTGATCACGTTCGGCGCTCGATCGCGCTGTATGAGACAGGAAAACATAGCATGCAGACATTAGCGACAGGGCTTACAGGCGGAAAAGGCTTGCCAAAAGAAAAAAAAAACACACCACAACATCTCTCCTATTGGTGGAAAACTTCACCACAACAACCAATCCAAAATTATATGGTGACTGATTGACAAGGGGCGGGTGCTTACGTTCTTCCTGCAACATGAGAAGGGAGGGAGGGACTCTCAGCAGGGATGCAGTCTGGGACACGTAGTTGCAAACCTAGCGACTTTGTTGTTAGATTCAATGACTTTTCAGACCCCCTAACGACTTTTTTTTAGAAAGAAAGGGACTTTTATCGACTTCTTCTGGAGTTTAGAGACTCTGACATGAAGCAGGCTTTCCTTACTGAGGAGTTAGCAACGCTGCTAAGGGTGCAGAGCCACACATGCGCTCAGAGCTCTGCATGGGAGACTGAAGCTGACAGAGCTGCAGCAGTTAGCAGGTTTCACCCTCAGAGACCACCAGGGGTTCATGTTGAGGCATTTTAATTTTTTTTTTTTGTGCCATAGACACTGTCAGCACAATCTGCAGTTACACTAACAAAAATGCTGCAAAAAACAAAGAATTATGGAAAAATTACACATGGACTGACATAGAGGAGGATCTACACAAGTTTTTTACATCATGTTTTACATCATGCATCATTTACATCATGTTTTTTTGTAGTGGCATAAATAAAAAGTGACATTTGTGAGACTATACAGTGTTTTGTAAATAATTTTACAAAGAACGCCTGGGCCATTGCCTGCATTTTGATGTAAATA